TCTGAGTCTCATTTTTATGTACTAGGTTATACCATTACCCACAACGTTAAAGTGCTTTGCAAATTAGAAATGCTATAAATACCCACTGTCATCATTAGTAGCATGATATACTGTTCAGAAATAGTTCATATTGATTGGCTTATAATATAAACAACAAACAAACTATGAACAACTCATTAACTAATATAATCCATTTTCTTGTATATTTTAGGTATATCATTGAGGGCCAAATGGATAAAGTATTTGAAATAGATGAGTAGGACATGCATTTGTTAATCGAATTTTTTAAAAGGTCACACTGTCTTCTAGTTATTATTAATTTGGCTTTTTTCTAGGATTTTTTGTTTGTTTTTTATTTGTTTTATTGTTGTTTGTTTTTAACATAGGGCATTTGTGCTTACCAGAGAGAAACAAATCGACAGAGAGATAGAGAGGGAAAATAAGAAATCACTCCCTGGGAGGGATGACCATGCCAATAGCCCTTCTCTATACACATGTATCTGATGCATTGTTTAGGCCACCAGGTCTGGGACTTGAACCTGTGGAGTTGGTCATGTGGAATCCAGTGCTTTAACCACCATGCCACCCACTGGCCCACTTATCAAAATTTAAACTTTAGGAAAATAATATCTGTATTTCCTTAGCAAAACAAATAAATGTAAAAAAAGAGACTGTTTTGGAGGCCTCTATCAAAACAACCAAAAGAAGACAAAAATCTGGAAGATTCTGTCAAAATATGGCAGAAAACCATATACGATTGGTTGTCTGGCATTCTGTTGTCAAAACAAATGATTGACTATAACCGTACGTTGTCATAATGTTATTATATTTTCCAATATAGGGTTAAATCTCAGTAATTATAGATTAAAATTACTACTGGTATGTTTCTGGCATGTTTTAGATGATATTTTTTTCTGCAAACAAAATTACTACATTTTTATGCCATTACTCTGGACATAATTTTATGATCTGAAAATGACTGATATATTTCTTACATTTAAGTTTTTTGATATTGCTACTTAACTCTTTTCCCTCAATATAATAATATTATTTATTTTCCTTTATAGGAAAACTATTTGCTATTTAAATTTTTGTTCAGAATGAAGCAAAGTAACTATTCTAATTGTTAATCAGGGCCAGCAGGTGTTGTGGTGGTTAAGGACGCTGGACTCCCGCATGGACACCGTGGTTCTAATTGTTAATGAAGGACAAGGCTAAATCATGTCATGCTTTCTACCCAGTAATTTTAGGTAAGATAAACAGGGAAGATATATGATGTAGATTATGGGAATGGTATGTATATTTACATTCCTATAAAATAACCATGATTTGAATTTGCATTTCTCAAGGTGAAATACATATCATAAACTTTCTATTTAAATTTATATTTATAACTGTTATCAAAACGTTGGTGTGCTTTTTAACAGAGATGCAATCTAAAATTTCAGTAAGAAAATATGTTGACATTTTAAGGGGGCTCTTAAACAATGTAAAATAAACACATTTGAAATTTAAAATTTTAAGTCTGTTTGTATTTTTTGAATGTGAGGTTTTCTTATTATCTACCTGTATCTTAAATTGTTTTTGCGAAATTCTTTCTAGTATCACTGTATTTCAATCCTTACCCTCTTATTTTAATATATAGCCAGCTAGATTTTATTCATCTTGAAACCTGGGACTATTTGAGGTGGTATCAAATCATTATCAGTAAAAATTATTATTTTTCTAAGCATACTTCTTGATTTTAAGAGTTCAAATGAATACACCTTTGAGTTTTGCTACTAAGTACAATCAGTTTATAAATCTAAACATATAGATTGGAGCACACACAATGCTAAGGAAATGAGGACAAGTCTGGTTTTACTTGAATGAATAAAAACTCTGATGTTTTACGTTTCAACCTCCTTCCTAAACAACACCTTAACCAGAAATATGGACATTTGGAAAAACTGAGTAATTTGACTTTGAGGTCAGTGTATTTTACTCACTCACTCAAGGGATTAGCAGTGAAGAGCAAGAAGAACAAAAAAGCTGGAAAATTTTAAATCTGTACTTTTCAACTTATAAAAATAAAAAGTTTATCATGCTTGTATTGTCATCATGAAATACTGATGATCTGGTTACTTCCCTCAATATGTCCACTTCAGTAAAATAGATGTCACCTAATTTTTTTAAACTCACAATGTGATATTTGTGAGAAGTTGACCAAGAACATTTTTATGGTAAACTGAAATAAATGGGTCAAGGTTCACATACCACTCCACAAACATAAAACAAACCAAATACATTTAAAATACAATGGCTTGCACTGCTAAGGTGTGTGTATATATATATACACACACACACACACACACACACACACATATATATATACACACATACATACACGTACATATACACACACACACACACACACACACATCCAAGAACATTTTTATGGTAAACTGAAATAAATGGGTCAAGGTTCACATACCACTCCACAAACATAAAACAAACCAAATACATTTAAAATACAATGGCTTGCACTGCTAAGGTGTGTGTATATATATATATACACACACACACACACACACACACACATATATATATACACACATACATACACGTACATATACACACACACACACACACACACACATACATATATCCAACACTGTAAAATGTTTCAATACATTTGAAAAAGTGGTAACCTAGCAATGTAAATTATTTGTTCTTACTATTTAAAAACAATAGAAAATGTTCTTTTGCCTTAATAAGGCTTGTGCAGGGTTTTGTTTTGTTTCAATTTCATATTTCTTTAAGGAATAATCTTCTTTCTCCCCTAAAATTCAACTATTATTTGTCTATTCAACCATATGCAACACTGATCTGCAGTTTGTGATTTAGCCCCCAATAAAGAATGAGAAATTCTCTTTCAAAACAAAATGTTCAACATCAGGGCTCAGAATACAATTCCCCAAACTATGGCACCTCGATGTGCTCAACATTTTCAACTAAAAGGGAAATGGAAGGGCTTCAAAAGCAAAATATGTCTGGGAACCAGCAGTTAGCGTAATGGCTATGTCACTGGACTCCCACGTAGTCGACCGCGGTTCGTGTCCCGGACCCGGTGACTTAAAACTCACGCCGGGCGCGTGTGCATGCCCAAGATCCCGAGAGGAGAATGGAGGAGAAGGGATTGCGGCGTGACCATCCCCCGTGGGGGGTGATTTCTCGCTTTCTGTCTCTATGTCTCTCTCTCTGTGTTTGGCGAGCGCTCGCACCCTATAGCAAAAACCTCTCCAAAAAAAAAAAAAAAAGCAAAATATGTCTGACCTTCTCTCCCACTCCCTGTCTCCCACCATGAATTCCCCCACCCCCAAAGCAGGTCTTAGAAAGCAGAATTCCTTTCCCACAAGGCAAGCCATAAGAACTAGAACTTCTCTTCCTTAAAGTAAGCCATAAAACCTAGAAAGATTATTCTCTGAACCTCTCCCTTCTTCCCTGATGTCACCTAAGTGATGCCACCTTGTTCTATATATACCTGGAGGAAAGGAGCACCATATGGAAAATCAAGAAGAATCTGAACAGACAGGCCTAGCTGGGTTTCCTTTCTACACAATGCTGCTGGAAATGAAAATTTTAAAAATAATTAGCTTAATGCAAGTGCTTGCTTTCTTCACAAACTAGTGGCTTAATACCACTACATTATACCCTTTGTGTGCAATCACCTTTCTGCCCAATGCTATCTAACCATCATCAAATTTGAGCATAAAAATAGCTTTCTTTAACTCTTTGGGTCTTCATTCCTGAAGACTTCTATGTCATATAAAAGTTTGATCAAATAAAGTTGTTATGTTTTCCTTCTTGTTAACTTCTCTTTGGTTACAGAGACCTTGAGGCTTATGATGAGTGAGTAAAGTTGTCTCACCTTTCTTCCCCTCCGGCAACATGCCTTATCCCAATCCCAGGGGATTCATTACCCTGTCTAGGAAGCATAGATCCTTGGGCCTAAATAAACCCAATCATTTCATGAATTATTTCATCTGAGAAAGTGAATTTAAATCAGTATTTTTCAGACTTGATGGAAAACAAAAATATCTTAAGAAAATCTTCATATTCTTAGAAATATTTGAGCATTACTGAAAGGATTAATCAAATGGAACTCTAATGCTGACTTATATTATTTGAGCTGGACAACTGTAAAACAAGTCATGAACTCCTTACCCTTGCAGATCTAATAAAAGGACAACATTCTAAAACAATAATATGCCATAGTGTTGTAATGTGGTGAAAGATATTATTTTGTCAAAGCTAAATGACTATTTTTAACACCAAGATGATAATCACTGGGAGAGCTGGGGACTTTTGACCTTGGCATACAGACTGCTATGTGTTAATTTGATTTTCTGGTCATTTTTCTCTATGTTTGCTCTTGTGATATCTTTTGGCTTTTACTTGCTAAAGACAAATGTTTACACATGAAACATTTCCTTGCAATTTCCTCACTTACCTCTGGCAATCAAAGTAATCCCATACTACTTTGCATTACTGTGTTAAAAACAAATCAGCAAATGTTGGCACGAATATTACATGTAGTATTCTTTTATGAGGTGATTATCCAGAAGATCCAGAATACGTTTACATTATTTAAATTACATTATCTGTAAACTCAATCCTTAAAAATTATCACAGATGACCTGTGGATTCCCAGAAAGCAGACCAAAAGTTTAAAAAAATAATGATTAATTAGCTTAATGCAAGTGTTCATTTTCCTCACGAAACAGTGAAATTCCCAGTTGGTTCTAAAGTCCTACAAAGGCAGAAGTTTGACCATAATGAAGTAGAACTTTGAGCTCTTTCTAAATCAGTACATTAGTAAAATTGTAATCAATACATAATTGAATCATAAAATATGATGCACAATTACTGCAAGATTCTTCTTTATACCTTTTGTAATTGTCACCTGCAATCTCAAAAGTCTGAAGTTAAGAGTTTGAATTTTAAAACTGACTTCTTACCTTTTGTTCTCTCTAACTGCTTTGTCCCCCTTCTTCCAAGAGATGGTTGGTTTAGGAGAGCCTTGAGGTTTACATTCTATGACGACTTCTTGGCCTTTGGTAACAATTATTGTTTTCTTCAGCTGATTCAGTACAAAAGTAGGAGCTGAAGCTATTGAAAAGAAAGTGTTAGTTCTGCTAGGAGTAATGACAATCATCTGTAATAAATGATTCATTGATATTTTGCAACATTTTTCTCTACTATATCTTTCTCATCAAGTCATAGGATATCTAAAAATACAAAAGGTACTAGCTCAAAATTCAATGTATTATTAATAAATACACACATCTCACTGGTTGTCTTTCCATGATCAGTTTGACAGTTTCATACAACAATATTTGTTCTAAAAAATGACAAACTTTACTTATAACCAAGAAGTCTTTTGAACTTCCTGCGGAAAGATGGATGCTATCTATAGAGAAAAAATTTTGTGGGTTTTTTTTTATTTGTTATTTATGAATCTTAGTTGGTGTTTTATTTTAACATTACACAAATTTGAATGTAGTTTTAAAGAAATATATTTTAAAACTGAAATGATTTAAAATTCAGTTAAAATTTTACTTCATTTATTGAAGTTATTCATGTAAGTCTGATAATTTGCTAATGTTAACGATGTTTTTACTAAATTTTTATTAAGACCCTTTTGAATCTAAAGAATCTGAAAGACATGTTTACAAGTAATCAGTATTTGAGACATCAATTTATAATAACCTGACAATATCATGGTTATTTCGCTAGCATTTTATGGCCATCATATAGCAATATAAGGAATGATACAATATTTGAAAAGAGGATATTTATGGAATTGGATTGAAAGAAGTGAGGATATTTATGGGAAGATTATGGTAATATTACTAATTACTTACTGAGAATAGAGTTTATAAAAGGTAATGTAGAAAAAGAGTCTAGAATGTTTCTAGCTAAACTTTTAAGTAAAGGCTGATAAATTCAGAGCTGTAAGAATTGACAATAAAGGATATGAGTACTCAACAGGTTCGGATGTATTGAATTGAATTGTGAAATCTTAAACTTATTTTAGATGGACTATTTTTTGTAATGTGTTAAAAGTTTAAACGCAAACATCTATAAATCAACAAGTTGATTTAGTATGTATTATATTTAGCTGCTATGTAAATAGCGGGTCTCCAGAATCCTAGGATCTTTGGCATTTCTGTTAATATTATGTATTGGGACTTTTAAGTAGAGACTAAAAAGCATATTTGAGCTTCTGCCCACTTTGAAGAGACAGAGAGTAAGTTCTGGTAACTTAAATCTCTCTCTCTTTGTATCATAAACATCTCAGAATCAAAGTTCAGAAAACCATCAGAGCTGAAAAAAGTAAAAGTCCATTCCCGTGGTTTGTATCATCCTAGGTAGTCTATTCCGTTAGATTGATTCTTCCTTGTTGTATTTAAATAGTAAAACAGTGCTGTGCCTACATTACATACTTATCAAGAGCATAACTTTATCAGGCTGCTGTGCCTGGCCTCAGAAGGCTTTGCCTTTTATGTAAAGATGATAATGGTTGATGCCCATAGGAGATGGTGATCCAGCTTACAGAGCCACATGCCTACCCATTGAGAGGAGCTGTTTGGGAAAATGTTAAACATTGCTATGGGAGCTGGGACAGGCTGCTAGAATTTTATATTCTGATACCCTCCCCTTAAGGCATTCTTTCTTGAAAGTGAACATATATTTATTTATATAGTATTGTAAATGCCATAGAAAAGACATATTAAGTCAGAAAAATTATATAAACAGAAGTTGGAAAAATATAAACAGAAATGGAACAAACTATACCCAATGTCAACCTACTCTCTAAAGCTTAAAAAAATATGCAAGATACAGTATTTCTTTTCAAGCCATAAAATAGGTTTTTACAATCACATCATAAAACTTCAGTATAGTAAGAATTAGAGCATGAAAAGAAGAATCTCTTCTTTTTCTATTTACTTAGAAATTGCATACCTAGAATCTTCAGCTCAGCACTAGCATAAATGGCTCCATATTTATTTTCAGCCAAACACTGATACATTCCAGCATCTGATTGATTCACACTGTGGATCATCAATACTCCATTAACCATCTCAACCCTACTCTGTAATGGAATGAAAAAAATTAGATCTAGAAAGTAAACAGATCGTACAAATTTTGTAGGTATTCTCTCCTAGACTAAGGGGAAAAAGCCTCCAACTAATACAGTGAAACATTATTGTCTACTTCACACAAAATTACTGCATATTATAACATGCCTTTTGTGAAGTATAACTACTTCTAGGTCAGAAAAGAAATTATATTATTTTCAAGTAAGTTTTACTTTGGGTTTTGTTTTAAACTGAGCTTTGTTTCATTCACTAGTTGAGCTTGTGAAATATAACACAATAGCCAGATCATGAGTTCATTTGAATTCCTCTTACAGAGAAAAAGCAGGGTTTCAAATGGTAGGGAAAAAAAAAAAAAAAAACAACAACTGAGGTTGTGGGCACACAGGACTGAAGTTAAAAACAGCACAGGTTATAATGAAAACCCTTTACTACATTGATCTGACGAGGAGGTTGCCTTTTCTCTCACTTCCAAACAGGTTAACACAAACAGCAAACTGCCTTGCAACTGAGTTCTGAATAAAATTGTTGATCGGGAAATATAAACTTTATTATCATAAGAAATCTAATAGAGGAGACAAATATTTGAGCAAGTACAAAATTGAGGTAAACTGAGGCCAAGAACACATTTCAAGAACAAAGTTTAAATTTAAAATGTCACTAAATGACCAGGTTTCCCATCTACTTAATCCCATTGAAATAATTTTTCAGTCTGAATGAGCAGTGATTTGATTATTAGTAGTAATGCTACCTCATTTGACATCCTTTTCTGAATAAACCGATTTTTATTTAGCAGACACATTGTGTTACTTTCATGCTGGAGATAGAAAATATGAGTAGTATACCTCCTCTTCAGGTTTACCTGGCATCTCTGGGAAAATGAGAAAGTCTAGGACTCAATGTACGAAGGTATCTGTGCTCCGCTCAAGTTTCCTTAAATAGCTCTAGATTCCATTGTATTTGCACTTGACTTTCTACGTAATTGCTTCTGTTTTGGCCTACCTGCTTTTCTAACTGGTTTAGAATAAAGGAATGTTCCCTCTATGGCCTCAATTCAAAAAGGGGGTGAGTTAGAATGATTACCCATCCTGTAAAGTTAAATGGTAATTGATTTATTTTTCAATCCAATGCAATAGATTTACTCAAAAGAAACTTAAGTGAGCAGGTAGCAGAATGTCACAAAAGAACTCTGGACCCAGCAGAGTAGGGTTCTATTCCAGTCTCCTAACTATATGTGAGATCCTGGGCGAATCTCTCCACTTCTAGTGATTAACTCTCATCATCTGGAGTGTGACAGCAATAAGCTTGATGACATCCAAAAGTAAGCTAGAAATGGCAAGGGACCTATGATAATCACCGATCTTTTCCTAAGAATTTACAGAATTGAAAACATTTTAAGGAAACAAAACAACACAATCAACAATGTAATGAGGGAAATTAACATAAAAAGAAAAATTTGCTTTCATATATGCTATAATTTTCAATCCAAATATATTTAAAGCCTGAAGTGGGAATTGGATTTCAACAAGCCTAAAAAAAGCCTAGTTTGTGCCACGAAAAGTCTTGCCCAAATTACCCTGGAGTAGATTAGCAGTTCTCAACAGTACCTGAAGCATGAAGGGTACTCCGTTCTTCAACCAGCGATATGTGGGCCTGGGTTTCCCAGTGGCCTTACACTCCCATCGGAGAGGGCTACCGCTATCTAACTGAGTATCATTCAGTTTTTCCATCCAATGTGGGTAGGCTGTAAGTATTTAAGCATTAAAAAAGGTGATTTCATTACTCAAATACTTTACTAACTTAAAAATTCACATGGAAAAGTTAATGGCAATAGGTGTTTTAGAAGAAGCAGAGGATTGCATGACACATAGAGCTCTCATTTCCTGGACCAAAACAAATCAAAACAAAAAGCAACGAGGTATTTCAATAATTTGAAACACCTTTGTAAACTAACTCAAGTAAATCTTTTTATTAATGATTTTTACCCATTTTAAACCTAGTGGTTTGATTCCCTCCAAGGCACCAGAACTTGTTTAGCTGGATGTCAGACACTTAGGCCATCATCCTTTCAAAATACTGCAGGGGCCTTCACTCTGGCAGAAGTAGCAAAAATCCTACCACTGAATAACTATCCTGCATTTGATTTTTTCTTAATAGAACCTAAGTGGCTTTGGGCAAATAATTTATGAATTCAAATTCTACTTAGTATAAAATTTCTCTTACCATAACTATATTCTTCCAATGTGATCTTTTTTTTTTATTAAGATTTTAGCCAGGCCACAGTAGACTACAGGGTCAGCCAAAACACCATGATACATGGAAGCCATATTGGAAGGCCTGGGTTCCATTTCTGGGTTCACTTGAACATGCCATGTGCACCTCTGATCCTGACTGACTGGCTGGAAAGCTGGTGATCGGGGGAGACTGCACCATGAAAAGATCTTGTCAAGGTTCTCTCTCACACACAAAAGAAGTAAAGAAACTTAAAAGTAATTAAAAAACATTTATTTATCAAGAAAGAGATACTGGGAACCAGCAGTTAGTGTAATGGCTATGTCGCTGGACTCCCACGTAGTCGACTGTGGTTCGCGTCCCGGACCTGGTGGCTTAAAACTCGCGCCAGGCGCATGTGCGTGTGTGCCCAAGATCCCAAGAGGAGAATGGAGGAGAAGGAATTGTGGCATGACCATCCCCCCTGGGGGGTGATTTCTTGCTTTCTGTGTCTCTGTCTCTCTCTGTCTGTCTGGCGAACGCTTACGCCCTATAGCAAAAAAACCTCTCAAAAAAGAAAAAGAGATACTAATAATTCAATTTAAAGTGTTTTTCCTCAATTGGCCAATTAAAAAAACATCGATTAAAAGGGATACATGATCCAAAAATATTTTCTTTAAAAGAGTTGAAGCAATAAATAGAAGAAATATTGAACTAATTTTAGTATTTCTCTTTAGCAATATTTTTGGGGAAAAAGTATAGTGTTTACTTTATCTATGCTAGTGAGGACTCTGATCAGTCATTCTTTAAGTTCAGTTATGTCAGTTATGTAGTTCTAAGTAGTCCCTGTTCAATGAGGAGTATATACTTGGTAGAGGAGATCTAAAGTCAGGAGGAGATCTAAAGTCAGACACCAAAGGAAAGTACAGCATAAGAATTATGTGTTGAAGAAAACTGCATATGAGTATTAGAATAATAGATCTAAAGGAGCAGATATCCCAAACCAAAACTAGTTCAGGAGGGAGGAGGAAGAACTCTTAGTTTTCATTCATTTGGTTTTGTTATAGGGTGTGTGTGCTCACCACAGAGAGATAGTGGAAGAGAGAAAGAAATCATCCCACTGTCCCAAAGAGGGGATGGCCACGTGATAATTCCTTTTCCTCCATTCTCTTCTCAGGATTTTGGGCACGCACACGCACGGGCCCAGCATGATCTTCAAGCTGCTGGGTCTCAGATATGAACTGTACATCTGGCCATGTGAGATCTAGCACCTTAAACTTTTTTCCTTTTGCTAGCTCAGCACTCTCATGTAGTAAATGCTATCCTAGAGAATGAAATGAATCTCAACCCCAGTAACAATCATTCTGAAAATAAATAAATTCCATTTTATGAAATCAGAAACTCTGGCTCCAAGGAGTTAAGGAAATTTACTAAAGACCTTTACTTGTCTCTGAGTAGGTATTCTATTTTGATTAAAAGTAGCTCATTGGTCTTCTAGCCAGTATTGTTTGGTCTTTTAGGGATCCTAGTGTGGCATGGCATAGTCAGGCTTTTGGGACCTTAAAACATATTCTGTACTTCATCCTGTAAGACTAGAAACTACTATTCAAAAATGATATCCTTGTAAATTTCAAATATTAATCCTAACTTTTATGCCTGCTTTTGTAATCAGTCTCTTTGTAGTTACAAGTCATATGTGGTAAAAATGCTGGTAGGAGTGATGAGATACAAAATCAGCATTAAACTCTTTTTTTAGAGATTTTTGCTCTAGGGTGTGTGTGTGTGCACTTGCCTAAGAGACAGACAGAAAGAGAGAAATCACCCCCCAGGAAGATGGTCATGCCATAATCCCTTCTCTATTCTCCACTCAGGATTTTGGGTATGTACACACACACCCGGCGTGAGTTTCAAGCTGCTGGGTCTGGGATTCAAACTGAGGTCAACCACGTGGGAGTCCAGTAATGTAACCATTACACCATCTGCTGGTCCTTAAAGTCTACATTCATATTTGGGTTCTCTGTTAACTTTCCTGCCTTTCTTTGCCAGAGTAGTTCACACTACCCACAACATTGTAATTTCAGCAGACTAGTTTGCTGTCTCCCAAGTACACATTGTATTTTCTTTAAATTGTGCATGAAACATTCCACTTCTCTGTCTCCTTTCATGCTACCCATAATTCCAGATGTAGTATAAATGAAATAAATTAATCGCACCTCAAAGGGGAGTCTTCTGCACCATCTCTGAACATCTGTACTTCTTACTCATTTGGAAAATGATCATGTAGTAGCTTGTTAGTCTTCTACTATTGCTGTCTTAAATTGTTGTTGAATTCTTTAGTTATAATTGGACACCCTTGCAGATAGTGAGATCATGGAGCACAGAGTCAAGAGTCCATCTCCTTCTAGCCTATGAGGTGGGCCACAACTTCAAAAAGTTCGTGGAAAATATGCATTATGAAAACACATGCATGGATTTCAAAAATTTTTGTACCAAATATAAACCCATACTTTTTCATTTTTAGTGAACTTTCTGAAGTATCATATATTTACTTCAGATATGACATTTTCTCACATAGATAATTATGAAATACTGATTGTGCTTAATGATCTTTTATTATTTATTTATTTATTCATTATTTTTTTCTAAAAGTTTTTGCCCTAGAGCATATTCATTTGCTGGAGAGAGACAGAGAGAAGCAGTGAGAAAGTGCAGAATCATGCCCACCTCTCCACCAGGGAATGGTCATGCCACAATCCCTTCTTCTCCATTCTTTTCCTGGGATTTTGGGTATGTATGCACACATGCATGGCATGATTTTCAAGACTCCAGGTCCAATACTTGAACTGTGGTCAGCTATGTAGGAGTCCAGTGCTTTATCCACCATATCAACTGCTGGTCTCTTAATTTTTTTTTTAAGTATGTACATATGTATGTCTTTATTGAATTACTACTTTCATAAATGAGAGGTAGAGAGAGACAGACAGAAAGACAGCATTCCCAACAGTCTTGATGCCATGACCCACCCCATCTCAGACAGCCATGGATTGTGGGCAGGCATGCCTGACACACTCAGTGAGGTCTCCCAATGTGCGCTTGGCATGAGCCTTGTGGGTCAGCCTTGGAGGGCACTGTGCTTATTGCTGCACCATCCTCTGCCCCGAAATATCTCTCTTTCAATGTAATGTGACTAATGCTGGGATATGTAGCTGTGGAAGTTAAAAAGAAATAGAAAAGGAACAATACGGTTACTAAAATGAAAAATTAGAAAAGAATGTTAAAATAGAAAATAAAAACAGCTTGTTATCCAGAAAAAAATGAAAAATTGAAATAAGTTTTCTTCCGACATTCTTGGGAATACTCTATAAAGTAGCCTTCTGTGCTCATGATTCCAAAATGAATTTGACATTGGAACCCTCTCAAAAAAGATTAATAACATTAAACAAATAAATTTCTGCTTTCCTTTCTTAAAAAATATGTTTTGTGAGGCCCACAGGTAGTAAAGTAGTTAAGGTGCTGGACTCCCACATGGTTGACCACAGTTTAAGTCCCAGACCCAGCAACTTGAAACTTACATCATATGTGTGCGCATGCGTGTCCAAAATCCTGAGAGGCGAATGGAAGAGACGTGACTG